GTATTGTGTTACACTCTCTATATATACATATACATATACATACGGTAGCGCCACCCGCCCCATGAACTACCTTAGCTATATGCTAACACCCCTGTATGCAAGCTAAATCAAGCAACAAGCCCTTGCTCAATAAACGCAAGGTCTAATATTTACACATCTAGTGTATTGTCTGAGCTCTAGACTCTAGAGACCGAAAGCCGAGGCCCAAGCTTCCAGGATCTATGACGTTCTAAACCCCTAAACCCCTAAATCCCTAAACCCCTATATTTATATCCTAGCCCTAAACCCCTAAAACCCTAAACCCCTAAATATGTATATCCTAACCCTAAAACCCTTAACACCCTAAAACTCCCTATATCCTAACCCTAAACCCCTAAACCTGAAAGACGACCCCGCTCTTTTCCCAGGCCTGCTGCTTGCCGCTCCAGGAGGCAGCGGTGCCGTTGAAGCCGGAGACTCCCTGGCAGTTGGGGCAGCCTGAAGGGAGCGGTTTAGGGGTTTTGGGGTTTAGGGTTTCAGGGCTTAGGGGGAGCGGTTTAAGGGTTTTGGGGTTTAGGGCTTTAGGGTTTGGGTTTTAGGGTTTAGGGTTTAGGGTCTTAGGGTGTTGGGTTGTAGGGTTTAGGGGTTTTGGGGGTTTGGGGTTTAGGGTTGTGGGGCTTAGGGTGTTACTGAAGGGAGCGGTTTAGGCAGGGGTTTTGGGGTTTTGGGGCTTAGGGTGTTAGGGTGTTAGGGCTTAGGGCCTATTAGGGTACGATGCAGAGGGCAAGAACCTAAGATCCCCCACTTGAAACCCTAAACCCCAAACCCGAAACCCTAAGCCCTAAAAGTGCCTCGGGTGTAGGTCTTCAGCGTCTTGCCACGGAAGTTCGGTAAGTCCGGAGTCGCTCTCCTGCGGCTTTTGGTGTCAAGGGATCTATGGGTTTTTTTTCGGTGGTTTAGGGCTCTATGGGTTTAGGGGTTGGAGTTTCGGGTTTAGGGTTTAGGGGTTAGGGGTGTTAGGGTTCAGGGATTGGGGTTTAGGGGTTGGGGTTTAGGGTTTAGGGTTTAGGCGGGGATCCCCACGTCAGAGCCCTAGCTGCCTCCACTCTCCATCGTCAAGATCGTAGCTCCAGATGGCATACCTCGTGGCGCCAGGGAAAGCCTAATCTAGGATACATTGTAAGTACCTCGTCTAGCTGTCAAGGCCTAAACCCTGATCCCTAAACCCTAATCCCTAAACCCTAAACCGAATCCCTAAACCCTAAACCCTAAACCCTAATCACCCTAATCCCTCATCCCTAAACTCGTATCTTCAGTACCGACACCAGGAACCCACGACCTGCGACCCGCCTGTCGCGGGTTCCCGACTCGGGAATCTGATCCGGCGCCGGCCACTCCGCTCTCCTTGGTGGGGCTAGCGCCCTAAACCCTGAACTCCTAAACCCTAAACCCCTAAGCCCTAAGGGCACCCCAAACGTAGCGTGCCACACGGGCTTAGCGTTCAGGGCCCTAGGGAGGTTTAGGACCTGAATTTGAGGGTTTAGGGCCTTGGGTTTAGGGCTTTGGGGCCCAAAGATCACCAGGACCCCCCCATCCGATCCCAGGAGCCGCTTGAGCATCACATAAATTCTGCCATCCGGGCCGGCACGCCAGGGATGGGCGTACCCTCCGCAAACAAGAGACCGTGGATTCAGGGTTTGGAGGGTTTAGGGTTTCTGTCTGTTCACACCTTTTTTTGCGATGGGCGTGCCTTAGTGTACCCTCGATCATCCACCAACTTGCAAGGCTTCTAGGGTCTGTTTTTTTTGGTCACCCCGGTAGGGTTTTTAGGGCTTCAGGGCTCTCAGGGTTTCAGAATGCCTTGGTAGCGGTTGTCGCTGAAGGTCTCGGGGTAGGCACCCACTTCGTCAGCAGCCGGGAACTCCTGCCGTCTGAGAAAACAAACAGGTGAGGGAGTCGCAATGAACGAGTATGTGTATGTATGCATGTATGTATGCATATCTGCAGTATGCAATTGTTTTTGAGTCGTTTATGTATCTATTTATCTCTTCGTTGTTTGTCTGTTGATACATGAACCGTTTATTACATGTCAACGTTATGTTGTTTATGTTTGCATGTGCATGTGTATATGTATGTACGCCTGCATTGATTCATGTATGTATGTATAACATGCTTCCATACATAAACATACACACAGCATTAGTTACACATCTATGCATAAAACAGATAGATAGATGCAGAGATAGATGGATAGATGGATAGATAGACAGACGGACAGGCGGACAGGCAGACAGGCTGGCTAGCTAGCTGGCTAGACAGATAGATAGGCAGACAGACATGAAACCCTAAACCCTCAACCCTAAAACCCTAAACCCTAAACCCTAAAACCCTTAACCCTAAACCCTAAACCCTAAACCCTGAACCCTAAAACCCTAAACCCTAAACCAAGCTGTAGGGATCAGAGGCTCTCAGAGAGTCCGGGGCCATGGGAGCCCAAGGGTCCTCGTTCTTGTTCCAGACGCCCGTGAGGGACTCCCAGTCGCTCGTGCTGTTTCGGCGATACCAGGCATACCTGGGTTCAGGGTTTAGGGTTCGGGGTTTAGGGCTTAGGGCTCATAGGGTTTAGGGTTCGGGGTTTAGGGTTTAGGAGTCGGGGTTTGGGGTGTAGGGTTTAGGGTTGAGAGTTCGGGGTTTAGGGTTTACAGGGTTTAGGGTTCGGGGTTAAGCAACAATTTCGAAAGCATTTCTCTAGTAGAAATGAACTGCCCATCCAGTTGCACATGCCAGTCACGCCTGCGATGCAAGTTTCGTGCGTCTGCTGATGGGTTTCTGTTGCAACAGCCGTGGAGTATGTGCGTGTTCACCATCGCACATCCTACGTGTATCTTGGTGATGTCCTCAGTCTTGTTTTCCACAATTTGCTCTTGACAGCCCCTTTGAATCCGCTCATCGCCAGCGGGGCTACATGCAGGGTAGGCGACAAGGGCAGATCATAAACATGCACATTCGCGATCGAAGGCTTTAGTCTTTGCTTTTGGGGCTTGAGGCTTAGGGCGAGAACTCCAAGTTGGGAAGTCTGCTGCGGAAGGGCAAATTCTGTCATCCGGGACCCCTTAATGACCTGCAACACGACCCAAGTGACCTGCGGAGGCCGAACTTGGTGACGAGCATGAGGCCCGTCTCGCCCATGGACAGCTCGCCGCCTGCGAGTACTTCGGCAGCCGGGATAGGAGGCTCGAATAATCAGCACGAGTCGCCGGGCTTCGGTCTTCTGCCTTTGGGACAAGAGCCCTAAACCCTAAACCCTAAACCCTCAACATCTTCAGGAACTTTCGGCTTCTGAGCCATTTTTGAACCATGCGGCCGCTGCCGAAATTCGTCGTTGCGTTCCAGACCTCGGAGCAGAGATGCCGTGGGAGGCTTCGGAGGCATCTAATATAATACTATATATAATATGATAGTCTACTAATATAAAAAATATACATAATATAATGATGTAATAATACAATCTAACCATGTAATTATATCAACGTTCGCTTTTTTCGGGCCTTCACCATGGAAGCGTCCGATCCCTCCAGGTCCACACGGAAGAGACCTGGCAGTCGGAAGAAACCCTCGCAGTTGTTTTGGGGTCTAGGATTCGCATTAAATTATGAACCCTAAACCCTAAACCCTAGGATTATGCCTCTTTTTGCCACCCCGGGGCTCCTGAAAGGTCTTCAGGCTCCATCACCCTAGCCGAAATCGCTCTAAAATCCTCGATCCCAGCACGAAAAGCACTAAACCCTCAACTTCTCCGGAATACCCTAAACCCTAAACCCGAAATGTGTTTCGGAAAATCAGAAGCGGGGACGACCTCGGCTCGTGAGGAGGTAGCTCGGTCCAGCTGGTGGCTGTGTGGCCATTCCTTTCTTTGGATTTGGGTTTCTTATGGGTTATAATAGGGTTATAGTTGGGTTATATTAGGATTATAGTAGGGTTGTAACAGGTTTCGATGTTTGGTTCCAGGGTTCGGTCTAGGGCGAGGGCTTTGGCCTTTCAGGAACCACAAGTTGAGTACAGCACAGCTACGGCCGGCTAAGGGAGCTTCACCCGGAGCACCATCGTTTTAGGGTTTAGGGTTTAGGCTTTAGGGCTTTAGGGTTTAGGGTTTAGGGGTGGAGGCCCTGGAAGCTTTCACTCGGAACTTCATCTCTGGATCTAAGACGAGGAACAGCTCTGTGGTTCTTGGTGGAGAGTGGGGGAATGGGTTATTGGGACTACTCTAGGGGACCTTAAGGGACTATCAAGGGATCCATTCCCCCATTCCTTACTAAGAACCAGAGGAACAGGAGGAACAGAGTTGCGAGAGCAAGAGCGGAGCCAGCATTCAAACCGACAGCAGCAAGCCATGGCATCCCAAGCGGCCGTAGATGGCGTATCGGAAGCGCGGGGCCCCTGGCAGCGTGGTCCAAGTATCGCGGCTGGCCAGGCCCACCCAGGCATGCCAGAGCCTCACAGGAGGGACCTCCTTTAAAGTTTAGGGTTTTGGGTTTTGGGTTTAGGGTTTTGGGTTTGGGTTTTAGGGTTTAGGGTTTAGGGTTTAGGGCCTGAAGGCTTCTGGGGGCTCCGGGGGCTTCGTGACGTGGGGACGTTGGGGAAAGTAACATCCCCCCCAACGGAGTCTTCGACTGAAGGTCTTGCTAGTGTTTTTTGCCAAGTGGCAGGGCTGTCAGCACAAGGCGGCTGAAGCCCGGCATGCTGGGACCGAAGCAGATGTCGCTTCAACCCCACGCAAGATGCGCGAGCAAGGCCCCCGTTCCCAGCCGGCAGAATTCTGAGAGCTTCGAGGCGGCGGGGATCGCAACACTTCGGCGAAACAGCGAAAGCCAAGCCTGCGCTTCTCTATGCAAGCACCCCCTTTTTAAAGGCATGTCACAGCCTCCCACTGCAGACCGGATGCCTTGACAGCCACCCTTTCCCCAAGCACTGCGAGAGCCGATGGAATCCTTTCGTCGGAGCTGAAAGGGCTCTTCTTTAGTGGTCCGCAAGACGAGATTTCATCGGACGCAGAGATCTACCCAAAAAAACTCCATGGGTGGCGTCTGGAGCTGCAATGAGCAGGGCCCCCCAGCTTTCCCTGCTGACTCATTGCTTGCCAGCTCTCAACCCCGGCTCGCGACTTTGCGCGGCAGGCCAGCGTACCCCGTGCAAGCTCTGCCGACATCTTTCATAGTGTGTGCGTGTGTGTGCGCGCAGAATCTATACTTGCAAGCCCTGTGTGCGCACTTGTCTGCCTTGTTTTTCAGATCACATGTTGATGGCAATGCTGTCACCAAGGGCTTCACTGCTTCGAAGCATCCTTAGACCAAGCGCTCAAAGCCAACACCCCGACATGCCTGGGGATGTGAACCGCTTCTTCCCGTCAGCTCCAGAACGCTGAAAAAAAAACACCTAGATTTCCGGGGTCTACTAAACTGAGGGCCCATGCAAATGACCCGGACATAGCCGTTGCTGCTTCTACCGCGACGTCGACGACCAGTGCCAGCACGACTCTTGAGATCTACTGTGCTCTACGGGGTTTGCAGCTTCTCGTGAACCTCAGGCCAAGACGGCAACTGGCGCCGGATTGCCCGCCGACTCTCCCTTCGCGGCATCTTTGGCCTGTCGACTTCTCCCGCTTTCCGGGCCCCGCCTCCGAAAACCTCACGCCACCCTCAACAAAGCCCGCTCCGGTGGGCATATGCTACCCTGTCTAGAGAGGCAGACAACATCATTCACTGCTAGAAGAGCAGGCCTTCTTCTTGTGATAAACACCTGCAACAGCTCAGCCGCAGATGGCCAGCGTCCCTGTCTCCACTAACTGGGTCGCGGGCAGCTCTCTTTGAAGAAATCCAGGGGACTATTGCCAACCTGGCAGATCAGAAACGAGGTGGAACCTGCCTCTGCCACACACCTAGACAAGGACTTGCGACATCTCGGTCACAGCTGAGTGGTGAACGCCGTCACCCTCATGATTCTGGTGCTGCGACCTGGCTGGGAAAAACGTTGCATGTACATATTATTTATTTATTTAATTTACTTTTATATATATATATGTATGTATGTATGTATGTATGTATGTATGTATGTATGTATGTACGGATGGATGGATGGATGGATGGATGGATGGATGGATGGATGGTATGTATGTATGCGTACACAAGGCTGCTAGAGAGTGTGTGTGTGTGCATATATATATATAGATAGATAGATAGATAGATAGATAGATAGATAGATAGATAGATAGATAGATATAGATATATACATATATGTATATACATACGTATGTATATGTATGTGTATGTATCTACATGTATATATGTACGTATGTGTGTATAATATGCATACATGCAGACATACATACGTATGTTGGAAAGACTTCCAAGATCAAACAGCACTCCACGGAGCTCTCTCGGCCCGAGGCTTGAAGTACTCGATGCAGGCTTCTTGGTACCGCTTGCCTTGCGTGACGGCTCCCATGGCTCCCGGGATGAAGGGCTCAGGGGCGAAGGGTTTGGGGGCTTGGGGTTGTTCTTTTTCTGAACACCTCTTTCCGTCTGCTGAGATTTAGGGGTTTCGGGGTTTAGGGTTGAGGGTTTAGGGCGTCGGGTTTGGGATTTCGGATTCTGGGCTTCAGTTGCATATTTCTCATCCTCCTCCCCCCACCTGACCTGAACTGCCTGGCCCCCCCCCCCCCCACACAGCCCGTTTCCTGAATTGCCATACAGTCAGGGTCGGATCATATTCCCGATCTCACAGGGTTTAGGGTTTACAGTAGCCTTCTTGAACCCAGAAGCCTGGAGAGGGAAGTCTCAAAGGGAAGCCCAAGCCCTAAGCCCTGCCTTCCTTGATCAGCCGCTCGATCTCCCCGACATATGCCTCGCTGGGGCAGCTCATGAGTTTTCTTGGTAAGAAGGCCCTGGTCTTAGAATCTTGTTGGTTCTGGGCACTTGATGTAAGCTACAAAAATTGCTGTGACTTTTCCGAGCTTTGCGTTAGGGAACTTGATTGAGTTACCACACCAGGGATCTACATTCTACAACAAATAACCTGTGCTTTCGGTACTATTGCGACCAGAAGCAGCCTTACAAAGCCCCAGAAACCCTCAGATTCTGCTAACCTAGGGTCTAGAGTTGAGGAGTTTTGGGGTGTAGGGCCCTAAACCCTAAACCCTAAACCCTAAGCCCTAAGCCCTAAACCCTAAACCCTAAACCCTAAAACCCTAAACCCTAAACCCTAAACAATTGGGGTTCAGGCGTTTTGGGTTCCTCAACACGAACCCTTCAGGTCCCGGGCCGAGGGCACCCGCCACCTCCACAAGCGAAGAAAATGCACACATTTGGGGTTTAGGGCTTTTAAGGCTTTGGGTTTAGGGTTTAGGGTTTAGAGCTTAGGGTTTAAGGTCTAGGGATTTTAGGGCTTAGGGTTTGAGGTCTAGGGCTTAGGGCTTAGGGTTTAGGGTTTAGGGTTTTAGGTTCAGGGCTTAAGCTTTTTTGAAGGCCTTTTGAAGGCTTAGTGTTTGGGGTTTAAGGTTTGCGGTTTTAGATGTCATGCAACAATACTCAAGTTTTATCATGTGCTAGATCTATCTATGAATGTGCATACGAACAGACATGCATCTGTCTATATGTGTACAGCCAGATGACAGATCAGCGGATCGGATAGATAGATGGTTAGATGGATAGATGATGGATAGATGGATGGATGGATGCATGGATGCATGGATGGATGCATGCATGGATGGATGGATGCATGGATGGATGCATGCATGGATGGATCGGTGGATGGATGGAAACCGAGAGATAGAGAGATATGGAGATGGAGAGATACACATCCCATGCATCATACTACATTATATCATATGTGTATATATATATATATACATATATATATATACTTGACTGCCTTATCTTCACTGTGGGCAGCCTCTGGAGCTGCTGCTGCAGGGCTTTGGGATCCATCTGCTTGAAGGGGCAGCCGTGAACCTGCGCGCCGAGCTTCCCGGGAGCTCTCAGAGGGGCCGAAATCCCGTGCTCTTGCTGGGGGCTGGGTCGTGGAACCCCGTTGGAAATGAAACAAAACAGTCAAACACTTTGCGAAGAATGAATCGAAAAGGCTAATGTCCTTTTCACACGCACTTGATTGACCTTTCTAAAGCAGTACAACTAATCATTACTAGCACTGTTCAGGATGAGCACCAAGAGAATTACTCGAAATACTATTAGGAAATTAAGAGCCGCAAAACCAAAGCATATCATGGACTATGTGTCCATGACTGCCCCAAACCACTCCGCAAATCCAATCTCCAAACCGCACTTTCGCAGGCACATCATTCAGCCACAGTGTCCCGGGCCGGAGAGACATCGGAGCCGCACATAGCCCTTTACAGATTCCAGTGGCCGATTCTCCTGTCCTTCGCTTTTCGAGAGACACGAGTCGGCACCAGCTCAGTTTCCAATGCGCGGCACAGCCCTGGGGCCATTGGGGAGACATTGCAGCCCCGCATGGCCCTTTTGCTCCCATGGCGATACCAGTACCGTGAAACAACCAAGGCAAGTTCCTGTGGTCAGAACTCGCCGAGTTCACCCTCAGGTGTCACAGTTTGCAAACACAGTGTTGCGACATGTTCGCTCCTTCTCAGCCGCGGGCAGCTGGCCAGCGCGGCCAGCACCAGAAGTTCCAGCAGTTCGTGCTGGCACCTTTGTCCCACTGGTTCCTTCGCATGGCACAGTGCAAAAGCTCAAGTCAAGGAAGCTTAAACCTGGATTGCTGCGAGTCGTCTCCTAATGCGGTCGTACTCAAAGGCGTTATTGTCGTAGAGTTCGTTGTACCTGACAGCATATTCGTATGCTAAAGCAACGGAATCATGTCCGGACTTGTCGGAGACGTGGTCTCCTTGCCGTCTCACTTCGAACTTTGGGGCACTCTTCGACGTCGAGTTGCTCTACCGGAATGAAGTCGCCGAGCGACGTGTTGCTCGCCTTCGCTACGTCTTTGTGCAACTGTTCGAATAATGTCGAAGATACCACTCGATGCATGAGCTCCGAGCCACATAGTTCACGTGGTGCTTCCACTCTTCGGCGAGCTCGTTGCTGTCAAGAACCCCGTTAGCCCTTGCAGAGGATACCTGGACCTACCGGCAGTCATGGTACATTCTTGCTTGCGGTGAATCACAGATTGCATCACCCACGATCCTGCAGACAAGGCCAATGTGAATGCGGAAAATGGGCCTGAATGGCTCGGCTATGCTGTTCGCTTGCGCTGCACGTGAAGGTCTCACTGCCACTGAGGTTGAGGACACTTCGATGGCCAGGAGGCCCACCGAGAATGCAAGGTGCGATCTCGGATGCAGACACCCCACGCTTGCACACGCAGATGCTCAAAGACGAGCTAACATGCCCAACGTGACAGTCAAGGCAGGAGCACCACCGCTATCTCCTGTTCCCACATGCCCTGTCCAAGACAGGCAAGCAGGGAAAGGATGCAGAAACAACTACAAACAGCTCAAGCATGCCGAACCTTCTGTGCTAGCAGCAACGCAAGATAGCCGTCCAGGACGATGCCAAGCCACAACACTTGCGCCCTCGTCAAGCGCACGAAAGCCCAACGAACAACTCAAATCCAACAGGCACCGCGTCCGCTGAACAGATGAGCTGAGGCAGTGGCAGCCCAATCACGCACAGGCCTGAGAGTCTCAGCAACGACGATCCCGCTTGACGAAAAAACATGGCTGTCACACATGAAAGAGGCCGTCGTCGAAACTGTACCTTTTTTGCTGACACACTGCTGATCCCTGCAAAGGATAGGGTGAGCGCGGAACGAGCGGAACGAGCCAACAGCAATAGTCAGCAGCTAGTGCACGAGCATCTGCATGATCGCGGTTGGAATTCCTTCAGCTTGGCTCCTGGCAAACAAGCATCACAACGAACTCCCTGTGATTCAGGAGACCTCTAGGCAAGTTTGCAAAACTGCATTATCAGATCGCTTCATCACAAGCAGGCGCGCAGGGCTCTCGAAAAGTCTGAGAATTGTGCCGATGACGTTGTGCACCCATTTGCGTGATTTCCGCACTGCACAACAGCCGCAAGGCTGGATCACGGCGACCTACCATTCCTATCACCAGCTGCTCGGGCCGCAACAGTAATGATCATATCGTCGGATCTTTCGACTGTACTGCCAGGACCTGGGAACGAACAAAACCGACTGCTCAACAGCCTACAACCAGTACCACCCCGGCGCCGGACAGATGAGCACGGAAAGGGCGCTCACCCTGCTCTGGCATGTTCAAGCACACTTACTAGCTCTGGAGTTCCGACACTGCCCCAGACCTGTTCCAGGTCAATCCCATCGAGGGGGATATTCCTGGTCTTCTTCAGTTGCCCGGGGTCCGCCATAGAGCAGTACCTGGAATGCAAAGTTGTGAGACGCCCACCGACGAAACCAACTAAAACCAAACAGGCTCGAGCTACCCCATCAAAAAAAGGGTGACTGCAGCGAGCCCAACATCCAGGGCTGTCAGCGGAGCCTTCGCCAGCGTAGTCCATATCGGTGTCAATACAATGTACAGCCTGCGGCCTGCGGTGAGATCCTGCCTCGGCCTGGGACCACCCCTGCAAACGGCAGAATAGCGGAATCTGGACGATTGCGGTGCAGAGTGCCCCCACCACCTGAACCACAGGTCTCCGCAGCTCGCAGTCAGAAATTGCCGCTGTCCTTCTTCTGAGTTGCGGGCCACAGACATGAACAAAGCCTGCAATATCTGCAATTTAGCACTGCAACAGAAGCCAACTTCGCCGCAAAACAAGCCGGGACGGCAAAAGGCAAAGCCGGCTTCAAGTCGAAACCAAAGTACACGTACTCTCGCCTCCTCGCTGAATGGTGGTCGTCTGGCCCAAGTCCGTCTCATGCCACGCACTCTGCTGGCGTTGAGGCCGCAACGCTTCTTCTAAGCCCGGCTCCTGGCCCGCAGGCACGGAATTTCTCGGCAAGGACGCGCCTCGAAGCGACAACGGGCCGGGGCGGCAGACTGCACGGAGTCCTGTTGCGACGTTGGCGAAGAAGTCCTGGGGCGAGCTGCCCTGCTAGCCCGCGCCCGCGCAACCAACACAAACGAGGCTCGTTGGAAGGTTTGCCGCCGCCGTGGTTTGAGACAGAGGCCTTCATGCCACACTCACGCCATCATGCGACGTGCCCAGCCTATACGATCGGCAAAGTTTGTCTGAAGCAGGACCGCTGAGGACTCCGCGGTAAGAGCCTCCCATACCTTGCATCGGGGCAACTGCTCAGTCGAAAGACAGGTTTGGACTCGTTGCACTATGCAGTCGTCTCTGAGTCCCCGCGCGTTGGCGTTTGCTGCTGTGGCCCGGGCCAACCTGTCTTCGAAAGGAGGGACCCGGAGCAAACGATGGCGTCACGGAAACGGTGCAAAACCAGGAGCCAGTCAATGTCGGTGGGAGGGACATGCTCCGTCTCCGGACAGATGGAACTACGAGGCAACTTTACGACGGTAACAGCAGGCCACAGGAATGGCAACACGTGGCAGAAGAAGGACTCAAACAGGGAGCATGTTGCACTTTCGGCAGTTACTCTTTTTTGTCCATGTCCAGACACTTCCACTGTAGACAAGCATCTTCGGACTTTGACGCGCATGCTCTTGAGCCAAGGCTGCAGAAGCATGGAGCGCTAGACTTGATTGGCTGGCAGATTCTCCGCTTCACAAGAGCCCAGAACCCTAAGCCCTAAACCTGAAAACCCTAGGCCCCAAGCCCTAAACCCGAAGACCCTAGACCGTGGCCTGACCAACAGCCTCACCAGGCAGCCCGATGAGTTTCGGGCAGCCACAGCAGTTCTGACCTGTCGCTCAAAGCTTCGGGTTTAGGGTTTAGGGTTTATGGGTTTAGGGCTTAGGGCTTGGGGTTTAGGGGTTTAGGGCTTAGGGCTTAGGGTTTAGGGGTTTAGGGGTTGCACGAAACTCGACGTAAAGTTTCGTTTCGCCGACAGTCTCAGCTGACAGGGCCTTGAAGGTGGCCCTTCTTGCCGTAAGCATGCTCGAGATCGTACATGTAATTCCTGGCAGACACGTGCATGTGGGGCCGTTTGGGGGTTTCGGGGTTCCGATGCTGTCAGACTTTTGAACCCAGCAAGGGAGGTTGGTCGTTTCTGGGGGGTGCATCAGACAAGAGCGCCGGTGGCACTTGTCGAACTTTCCGGAATCGATGGTCGGATCGCGGCACAGCTCCTGCCAGAAGTGGAGAAGAGGAAAAAATGTCGGATCAGGTTCATAGAATCATAGAGCTCCTGCTTCCACCAGCTGACGGAGTCTTCGAAGGAGAAGCCGCAATCCTGCCACGAAGCTCAACTTTGCCCCTCAGCGCCTGCCCTCCGATCTCACGCCTTCAGGAAGGGGCGCAGCTGAAGCCTGAGAGGGCAACAAAAATACGTCAACTGAAAGACTTCAGACTTCGCTTCACCGAGACCGGCACCTCCCTGCGTGCTTCAAGTGCTTCTTGGTCTCCCGCCTTAGCTTCGAGGACTGCTGAAGGCTGTCGGGTCCTAGGACGCAACACCCTTCAAACTTCAAACCCTAAACGCTTAAACCCTTGAAGCCTTAAACCCTCAACCCTCAACCCCTAAACCCCTAAAGCTCAACTCTGACAAAGACCCGTTGCTCCCGGTGCTGCCGGGCAGCTGCCTTTCTACGAGCCGCCGCATGCAGGGAGGCAGGGAGCCTCGGTGCCCAGGCCATCAAAGCGCAGTCGCTCGGGTTTTATGGTTTCAGGGTTTTGGGGCTTTTAGGGTTTTTTGGGTTCTTTAGGGCTTTTAGGGCTATTAGGGTCTTTAGGGTTTAAGGTTGTAGGGGTTTTTAGGGTCTTTAGGGTTTAGGGCTGAGGCCCCCCCCTATACCAGACTGCTCCACTCTACTCTGCTCTACTCTGCCCTAGGCCGTGCCGTGATTGATATAGGAGAGTCGGGACCCCATTTAGGAAGTCCCCTAAACCCTCAACCCTAAATAGGAGGTCCCATACACCCTAAACCCTAAGCCCTAATTTAGGAAGTCGGCGGGAGAGAAGCTCCTCGAAGTTGCCGAGGTTCAGCTTCTCGCCGGCTTCCTTCAGCCCGAAGGAGCTGAGCTCAGGTTTAGGCTTTTTTTTGTGTTTGAAGGCCTTTTTCTGCAGTAACGTGTCTACAGAGAGCCCAATGGGGCAGGCAAGTTGTGGGTTTCGTGTTTAGGGTTTAGGGGTTTTGGGGTCTAGGGTTTCAGGGAGCTGTCTGAGTAGCTTCGGTCGCCTCCGTGGAAGAGGTGCGCATGGGCAGCACCAGCTGCATGCCCATCTCCTGTGACCAAGCACGATTCACTATAGCTCAATATACGTATACCTATCTTTCACCCTACTCAAGACACCTACTAACTTCTAACCCGGCTTCTAAACAAAACAACCATGAACCTTTAGTAACCCTAAGCCCTTAGAAGGGGTTTAGGGCCTTAGGGTTTAGGGTTTAGGGCCTTAGGGTTAAGGGTTTACTCGTGTCAAGCGGGGAAACGTATGCTTCACAAGAGCCTGCAGCTGCCGCAGGAAGAGACCCACTCGCGGATCGGCTAGGGCCATGTGGATGCCTCACAGGAGATGAGATCAGGGTTTAGGGCTTAGGGTTCAGGGTTTAGGGTTTAGGGTTTAGGGTTCAGGGTTTGGGGTTTAGGGTTTAGGGTTCAGGGTTTAGGGTTCAGGGTTCTGCCTTCAGGGATGATGGTTTCGGGTTCATATTGGATGTTGGGGTACGCAACGGCGCACCTTGGAAGGCCACATCCAAGCTTGCTGCCAGGAGGTCCTCCGTCCGAGCTTTCGACCACTCTGCTAGCCAGCCACGAACTACATCCTTGTTCATCCGGGTGTGGGTTGGGAAAGTGTGCCTGCAGTGGGTCTCTTCGTGGGCGTGCTTCCTTCTTCTCTCCAGGCATAAGACCTCTAGGTGTGACGAACAACCGCAACATCTTGCAACTTTTACTTGGGTTGAGATTGGTCCTTAAACTTCTTTGCAACGATCATCTTCAGTGAGCTCGCAGGAACATAGGCCTGCGAAATGGTGCAATCTCTCTGCGATAGGATTCCCGATCTCGCGTCTCTGCCCCATCTGCCGCCTTGCCCTTCTTGACCACCACCCTCCTCCCTGCGATGAATGCAGGGGGTACCTGCCAAACAGGTGCAGGGCGAAGCCCAAGTTAAATATCCACTTCGGAAGGCACCTCGGTGAAGGGCATCGCATAGAAGACCTGCTCAATCTCCGCGCGCCTCTGCACATCGCCGATTGCAGCATATCATATGTCATACTATACCAACTAGACTAGACTATACCACACTGCACTATACCGTACTCTATTATCTTTGATTCCACTATACTGTATTCCGTTTTCTTATGTTACATTGCACTACGGTTGATGATATAAATCCTGCATTACCCACAATAAGGAATACACCATAATTCCCATAGTTTAGGGTCCTTAAGGTAATGCAGGGTTTATATCACCAACAGTAAATGGGGGTTTCCCAAAAATAGGGGACCCTAATATAGTACCCTAAAAAGTAGGATCCTTATGATAAGAACCCCCAAATAAGGTACCCCCTAATCTGCGGAGACTCCCATATCGTGTTAGAGGCAGTGCGGCGGCTAGGCCGAGGCTCCCACCCGTCTCTCCAGGTCTTCACCTCAACGAGTCCGCTCCAAGGCCCCACAGAGCATGGCTGAACAAAAATATCGGCTTTAGACGATATAATGTTGTATAGCCTACCATATACTACATATACTCTGTACTATAGCACATTAACTATATACTTATACCCTGTCCTACTACGATGTACCATTCTATACCATACCATACTATACTATACCATCATGAAACTTATAATTATACCAGAAGCGGCCAGGCCAAGGTACGCCAGCCGTGCACTTTTGAAGCATCGAGAGCGTCGGGCCCCCCTCGGAGGGCTCCTCGAACCTTCCCGACCAGGAGGGGCTTGAGGTTTAGGGTTCAGGGATTCGGGCTTCGGGTTAGGGGATTAGGTCTAGCGTTTGGGAGCATAATTAGCGTTTAGGTTTAGGGATTAGGGCCATGAGGGTTTAGGGATTGGGGAGTAGGGGTTCAGGGATTCCTTGCCCTGCGGAATCTTCGCCTCTGCGCTCGAATGCCAGTGGACTCCACGAAAGCCTGCCAAAGGTGCCCAGACACGACTCTAAGAGAAGTGTTGCTGTGTGGTGCCCCATGCCTCCTTTGCGTCCGTGTTCAGGCCCTGGCATCAACTTGCACAAAGAGAGCCCTCTGCCCTAAACCCTCCAACCCAGAGAGCCTCGAATCGCAAGACGAACAAGCGCTGCTCCTGCTTCAGCAGCCACTCGCGAGCCTCGTTGCCGTGGGGTTGTCTCAGCCACGCAAACACACACAAAACCCTAAACCCTAAACCCTGAACCCTAAACCCTAAACCCTGAACCCTAAACCCTAAACCCTGAACCCTAGACATCAGGCAACCGCTAGCTGGCCTCGTTGCTCTTGCAGAAAGCCAGGCGCAAGGCGAAGTGGGAGATGTTATCTCGACCTTAGGGTTTAGGGATTAGGGATTAGGGTTTAGGGTCACATCTCGAACGGATCCGTTTTTTACACATCGCAGACAGCAGACCCAGGCTTCAAACAGCCACGGATACTATTGGGGTACTATAAGGGATACTAAAAGGGTACTATAGGGGATACTATAAGGGATACCAAAAAGGGTCCTATAGTTGCTCGACCGGTGCCACATATATCCGCGCATATCCGCGCAGTGCCATCACACGCAAGTAGGTGTCGCACTCTGAAACTCTGCCTTTTCGAGAAGGAAGCCATTGACGCGATCTGCTTTAGGGTAACCTCGCCGACAAACGCAAGACATGCCACCTACTGGGGCCCAACTTGCTGCTTCCAGCATGAAGGAGCGAAGAACAGCGCCCAGGGACACCCTGGCCCTGCATATGGGTAGTTCTCTAACTTAGGGTCCCTTTGCAGGTCCCAAATGAAGTACGGCACCCTTATACAAAGGACCCCCAAAAGGGACCCTAATTTAGAGAACGACCCATATCCCATTGCCGGCCTAAGCTCAAGCCACAATCGCGCAGGTCTCGTGCCAGCTGCGGCCTGCTAAGGACTTCCAGACGTGCCAGGATTCGATCATCCAAAGAAACTTAAAGCCCACAGCATCGTCATCATCATAAACCAGCATCTTCATGGTCTGATTTATCATATTCATCTTCATCATAGTCTTCTTCTACATCATCACTCAACCTTCTTCATCATCATCAGCAGCACCAGCCGCCTCAGGGCGCCCATGTTCTCCAGTCGAAACTCGGAACCTTGGCTCGGAAGAACAAGGCAAAGGGTTTAGGGGTTTAGGGTTTAGGGTTTAGGGTTTACGGTTTAGGGCTTTAGGGTTCAGGGTGTAGGGTTTAAAGGGTGTGCGACTTTTGACTGCTTTGTATCAGGGCCCACCTGCGGAGCTACGGGAATCCAGGGCCCCTGCTGGTGCCGGCTTTGCTGCGGCCGCCGCAAGCCTTGTCGATGATGTGCAGAAGCTTCAGCCGGTTCACGGTGAAATCCTGCAGGAACGCTGCCGGTGCTTTCAGATCAACAGCCGCCCTTTCTTTCTGTTCCTTTGACCTGAAGCGCGATGCACTCCGGGGAGTGACTTTCACTCAGAGCAGCAACCACGGGGCTCCTCGAACTCGCGGATGCTGACTTCTTCCTCGCGAAGACGCGCTCGGACGAGATAGACACAGAGAGAGAGAGAGATAGAGAGAGAGAGAGAGAGAGAGAGAGAGACAAACACAAAAAAAGAACACACGCACCGCTGAGGCCCTTGACGTTGGGAGGGCACCTGAGCGAGAAGACCCGAGGTGTGAAGGGCTGCGCCCCGCCCAACTCTCGAGCCGGGGCCCCCCACGTGTACATCGAGAGGCCCAGGTCATCGGTCTGGTAGGGATTCCTCTTCTCTCCATGCGGCACCAACGCCTTGCAAGGGAACCCTACACCACGAAGACCTAAATCCCGATCGCTCTTTCTTCCCATACTGGAATATATATTGAAGATAATGTAATATAATAATATGCAATGTAACGTAGCGTAAGGTCCTGTACTGTAATATAGCATGTTACCATAAAATATAAATGACAGGGTATGATATGATATAGATGCACCCTACACCTCCGACTCAGACTCGCTTTAAGCTGACGCGGAAGGACCACATCTCTTCCAGCCTGGCCCGGGAGCGCTCGGACCCTCTGCATGGCAACCTGTCGGCTTTCGGGTTTAGTGGCTCTGGGGTGCAGACGAGCACTGATCAGTTGGGGCGCCTTGCCAGGCGCCGTGGTCCGCGTTTTGGACTAAGCTACTTCGATCGGAGCCAATCGGAAAGCCGCAGGGAGGCTGTGCAGCTCGGGGTGTTGAAAATGTCGGCTCGGGCGACGGATGTCTGAGCAGTGGTATCAAAGACTGGGAGCGAAACAGCTTCGGAACATTCCTGGTTTCCGCCCCCCTTTTTCCTCACTCTTCCTGCTCCGCGGAAAGCTTTTCCTGCCGGCGCTTCAGCCGCTCCTGCGGGTGGCGCAGAACGGTTTTGTGGGCTTTTGGGGTCCCGGGGCTCAGGGCTGTAGGAAGGAAAGCTTTGAAACACGTCACCAGAAGTGGCCGTGCCGTAGCCGGAGAAACAAGTAGTGTGGCGACCTCCCGCATGGCTTGGTTGACCTCGTCCAGCTTGGAGTCCTGTTTTGGTCATGGATTCAGCGTGCCGAATCATGAGAAGCAAGCTCAGACTCCTGCATCTCGTTATTTCTTGCACAAGAGTGGGAACCCTAAACCCTAAACCGTCTCCTGCATCTCGTTATATATGCACAAGAGTGGGACCTCGGAATAAATTACGGATGTCCCACAGACACCTGCGCTGCACTCCGAAACCTGGACTCGGGAAGCGGACTGCCACCAGTGCAAAGTAGAAGATGGGCGAACCCCACCTCGGGACCCTAAACCCTAAACCCTAAACCTAAACCAACCAGACCCTAAACAGATCCCTAAACCCTAAACCAACCAGACCCTAGCAAAGACGTCGAAACCGTGGAAACTCAGCAAGTCTGCTCGGCTCTCGGCGGGAGCAGGTGATGTGGCCTGACGGTCATAAACAGCGCTTTTCCAGGCTGATCCCTCCAAGAGTCCCAGAGGTCCCGGCAGGAACATTTCTGTTGCGGCGGGCGCCTTCTGCAGAGGCCAAGCTTGGGGTTCAGAGTTTAGGGTTCACGGGCTTGGGGTCACGGTCTAGGCAATCACATGTCGTCAGCAATCTTCATGTCGCACGGAACTCTTCGGCACAACGTGCGATGTCACCAGCAGAACGCGACCCCTGCAAAATCAATGACAAGCAGTGACAGTGATCTGGGGGCACAATGCCAGCGCCAGAGGACCTCGTTCACCGCCTTGTTGTGTTGGTTCTGCGGGGCCGCCGAACCTGAGAAGCAATTCATGTTCCAGACGACTCAACCGTCACACGTGCTGAGTTGCAAACACTTTGAGCTGAGGACTGACGAGCACAAATAATATGCACTGTGGCCACGGCCAGAGTAGGTTCGTGCTCCAACATATCTGCCTCAGGGCAAGGGACAAAACTCTCTGTCGCTGTGTATTCTAAACATCCTGGCACCTGCAAGAACCATCTGCAGCCGGCACCGGCAGCAGGCACGCATGGGGCAGTCTTCTATTGACGAAAGCGAACAGAGTCCCACCCAACCATGTATAGTTGGGGCTCTATGTTAAAGAACAAGGGAAATTCAAGAATTATCCAAAATCGATACCTAGCTATCATACTTTCGTCCACAAGCCCGTCAAGTGCACAGAAGCTTCCATCGGCATATTGAAGTGCAGAGCCAGAAACACTCGAAACCTCCAAAGCAGGCAGTACACTCTCCGAACCAATCTTGCAGCCGCCCCTGCAGCATCAAATCCAGACACGATTTTACAACCACGTCCGATGCTACACTTCATGCTTCTCACCTTTGGCGATCCTGCTTTGCAGGATCAGCAAGCCCTCGATCTTCAGGTGAGCTTCGACACGCCGCCAACCAGCCGCGAAAGCACAGGGCAACCCTATACTATATTGGGGACCAAAAAGGGGACCCTAATTTAGAGAACTACCCAACTCTCCTTTATAATCGGTTCTTGGCCACTAGAGGCGCCAGAAACGAGCGCGGGCCCCCTATTTGCCGGGCCTTACTGGGAGGGCCCCGACATTTCTCGGGCCCAAATGGGCCGAACACACAGATTCTGCGCAGAGCTGTCAATAAAAAATATATTGATAATATTAATAATAATAATAATAATCATAATGATAATGATAATAATAATACTAATAATATTAATAATAATACTACTAATAACAATAATAATAATAATAATAACAATAATGATAATAATTCTCTGCAGCTTCGGCTCAAAGGCCCGTCCCACGCAAAGGACGTCTGGGCGCTGGGTCATCTCGGGGTGGCCATTGCCCTCCAAGACACGTTGCACACACACGTAGGGTTTAGGGTTTAGGGTTTAGGGTACATTGGGCAGCTCACTTATCCACTTCCGGGGTTGGGTAAATCCTCTTCGGCTGAGGTATCGTGAAGCATCCGTGCATCTCACTTTTCTGGGTGCACAAATGCTGCTACCAAGTCGGCATGAATGCTCGCACCTCGTCGACTCCAAAGCCGGAGAAGATGCCACATTTCGGTAGAAGGGTCCTGGAACAGTGCGCAAGCTTGAAAGCCAGGCTCATCCAGGCTCAGCCAAAACAGTCGCGACACGAAGCACTGCAAAACTGTCTTGGAGCCCGGCTCCCCCTAATTGCCGAGCAGCCCGCACATCCTGCCCTGGGCCTCGGGGCAAACACAAACCTTCGCCTTGCTCTGCTGATAGCGAAAATGTCTTTAAAGGGGCAACAAAGACATGCAATCTTACAGAGTGCTGTTGGCGTACTCAAGTACTAAGGAGTACCCCCCCCTAAACCCTAAACCCTAATCGCCCAAACACATAAACAATGCGCAGGCCCTCTGCATGAACCCCAGATGGCCACGGAGAGCTGAAGCTAAATGCTTGAATCTTTTCCGCACGGCGGAAAGTTCATGGGTTAAAGCTTTAGAGTGCCGCAAGATCACATGGCCTTCACAAGTCTTTCGAGCTTGCATTGCCTCTGGCTGGTGCATGTATATAGTGCTAGCATTCAAAATACCGTTACAACTCTTGAACGGGATCTCTAGTACACTCTTACTATGCTAAAAGTAACTATAGTCCATTGTCACTCTTGCCTCTCTAAAGCACTACACTACCCCGCTCAGTCGCACATCGTCCGACCCTAGAAATCTAGAAAACCCCCAGGGTCTATAGCAAACGAAACCCACTGAACTCCCCTCGACTCTCCATGCCGAGGCGCCCACGTGCTTTCAGCTCCGCTTTGGGAGTGCAGGGAGTCAGGGAGCACCTCACAAGTGAAGATGCAAACTGTTGCAATGATTGCTCCATGGAGCTCCAACAATGTGAATGGCCAGCTACAACCTTCTGTTCTCTACTGAGAGCGGAAGGTTGTAGCTGTTTATTCCTACCTAAATCGGCGATGCATCAACTCGGAACATTCAAACTCAGTGACGCTTTGATGAAAGCAGCTTGTGGCATCAATGGCAAGCCAACGGGGTATCTGGCAACTTGAAGCGTCAGTCTTGATGTCTCGGTTGTGTTTGTTCTTTGCTTTTTTTGCCTAGCTGTTGCCCATTTCACTGTTGTCGATGCTACTGCTGCTGCTGGTGCTCTCCGAAAGTGCACGTGTGTGCACACCCCTGCCAAACCCTAATCACGGGAACCCGTGCGGATGGCAAATTATCGAGAGGGATTCTGGCCCTGTGGGATTTCGACTCCAGCATGGTCCTTGGCCTCCGACGACAGAGCTGCAAGAACGGAGGACTTGTCACCTCCACTGGTAGCGGGCGCCATACCAGTTCACGTGGTAGGTGACTTTCAGCACGGGGCTACAAGCCAGAGAAACCGGGCATAGCAGGTGCCTGCACCAGGGAGCTGCCTCGCCACGTGCTGCCAGCATGGAGGCTTAAGCAACTGTGTACCTAATGGATGTCGACGGCGCTCCTAAACACCAAGACTTCACTCTGCAGCTTGGGGCGTGTTAAGCAGTGAGTCTGAGTTCAAGCAGACCGTTGCAAACACACAGTTGCGGATCCGAGCCTGCGCCACAAACACCTCCGAACTGAAGTTGCCTTCCAGTGCCACAGGGCTTGGTGCAACAGCTCTACATACGTGACGTGTGATCCGACTGTGATCCAGATTGGCTGCCGATCCCTTTCAAATCTGGCTCACCAGTCAGGGCCAGAGGCTCTTATTGTAGCGCCGTGCTTTTGCAGGCCGCACCAGCTTTAAGGATCGAAAGCTAAAAGGTTGTGCTTGGCTTTGCCAGCCTCCTTGAGCTGCTGACGCACATGCATAGATCATAATTATGCATGAGTGTTGGAGCATTGGGGTAAAGCAAAACTGGCTGTAGTCATCCCTCAACGCTTATGCTGCCCCCACCTTTGCAAGCCTTACAAAGGAGAGCTTCGACATGCATGTGACCGCTCTGGGCCCGGCTGAGCCCAGCACAAGCCAGCGCTCTCATCGGGTCTTCCATGAGCGGCATGGACAAGACCTCGACGTGTTTGCGAGCGAGAAAAATCTTGCAAAAGGGAGGAAACTTTTGAGAAGAGGCAACAAGTCGCAAGCGCATCTATCCAACTGCGGGCCATGCGATGACAATCCCTGCTTTGATCAACGGATCAACGTGATCTTTGATCCTCCTAGTTCGCAGAACACGACGGCTGGTTTCTGGGTCTGTGCCTCCCGATATCGGGAAGCTCACACATCATCCCACGCTTGGCGTGAGCGCGCAAGTGTCTTGCAGAAATCATCTAGAGCGGCATGGCTGAACTCAGCTATGCGCATATTCATGTACCTTACTGCACATGCACAGTACGTGAAGACACTGCAGAAAAATCCTCCACTCGTGTCGGGGCTGAGCTGCCTCCCCCAGCCCACTATACAAGCGCGACTACCCAGGACCCAAACAGAGTGAAGTGAGAGGCCTGTGTCCACCCCGAGCAGTTGCCCAGTATCTTGCAAGGGCAAACAAACAGTGACCAGCCCGCTCCCCTTAGCGGATGGGCTAATAAACTTTGGGCGGGGCTTGAACACAAACTGCAATCCACATGGTTTCAACCCTTTGGATTGGGAAAGCGGGCTCACCGGGGCGCTTGGACCGCCCGTGCCGAATCTCTCAGCGACTCCAATGGCGGCATGTCTCCTTGGGCCTTTGGAGCGTCAGATAGCTCAGGAACAGCGCCCGCAGGCGACACCGGCGAGGGCATCGAAGTGTCGGGAGGCTGCGGCAGCACCTTGCGGCCTCTTGAGCAGACATTCCATACAGACCTGACACACATACCCAGAATGCACGACCCCACGCAGGCGCCAAAGACCACCTCAGAGATACTGGAACGAGATGCTTCTTCCAAATCTCCCAATGGGACCGCTGTGACGGCCACCGTGGTTGGATCGCCATCCTTGACGGCCTGCCCGCGATTGACCCATGCCTGAAAGTTCTGGATGGAAAGGATTTGGTGTTCCGACGCATGGGGAAGTTCTGTGAGCACACTATTCAGCCGGTCCACCAGTGTCGACGCAAAGCCTGACATCGGGAACAAGGCACGAACCCCCTCAAAAAGTCGATGCTCAACGCAGACTGTTTGCCCCCTCGTGCCGAGCAGCTAGGCTCCTCTTGGATTCGCACATCAAAGTCTTCCTTCGCGCTTTGCTCATTCTATACTGTTTACTATGATATTCTTAATATTAACATTTTTCTGTTAATTTTCGACATATCATTACCATTATGATAGTATCATGAGATTTAGTTACCATACGACTCTTATATTATTCGTATCAAAGTCCTCCATGTCAGGTGGCAAGTCGGCGCTGAAGCTCACCAGCACCGTGCCAGCAAGGCGCCGAGGCAAAGCCCAGCCTGCAGACTACGACAAGGACATTCCACGAAGTAGCATTAATTAGTGTAGGATGTTTGTTGTGATAAAAGTACATATGCTACTACTCTATATTATATATACATATATTATATAGTACTAACTAATACAAACTACTCCATGTTCTTGTAGAGTTAAGTAGCTGGTAGTATCTCGTCATCAACCCTGTGACCTTTGAAGTGCTGAGTCGGTATAACGCAGAAAGCAAGCTGCAGCAGAGCTTCAATGCAGTTGAAAAATGGCTGTAACGAAGCTGTCGCGAAGCCGCAATGGAGCTGAAACGGAGCTGTAGTGGAGTTTTGAGACGGAGCTGTAGCAGGAGCTGTATGACTGTGTGACGCAGGTGTAGCATGAGCAAGGCAGAACATAACACACCTGTTACAGTACACTGGAGCTACTAATAACAACAATGATGATAAAAATAATCATCATCATCACCATGGCAACGGTACGAATAAGACTTGAACCGACACAGCACAGCAAAACATGCCCGGGCAACAGGCCAAGCATAAATCAAAGCCTGCGAGCGGGCCGGCCAGGCGACGGTCCTCCTGGATATGATTCTGACCGTTATGGCTATTATCACCCACCACTACTACTACAACTACTACGACGACGACTACTACTACTGCTACCATGACTCCGACCATCACTAACAATACGTTTACTATTAGTCTTATTACTGTTATGACTGTGGATACTATAAATCTTATTACAGCTTATTGAAATCCACCGTTGCATCCTGGACGGCCAACTGCACCTCCCACTCCTCGAGGCCCCAGAGATCACCCAAGGCCCCCACCACTGCCGGCCGGACCTGCACACAGAGAGAAGGATGCGACAACAGTCATAGTGATAGCAGCAGGGACAGTAATCATGAAACAACAGCAGTAACTGTTAGACTAGAGTAGTAGTAACAACGATAACCATGCTGCTATTAAGCATAAGGCATAATAAAAATGATAGTAAGTAAAAGAACAATAACAGTAACAATGATTCTTGTTATTCTGCTAAGAATAGTGATAACAATGATAATAAGAATGAAAACACATAGTGATAACAACAATCAACGACAGCAATACATGGTAAAAATGATAATGGTACCACTAATGATCACAGTCGAAAATGATAATGACAGTATTCATCTGGCAGCAGAAGTGACAGTAACAATGACAGTTATAAGTATGATACTGACAATAAGAGGAGAAATGGTAATAAAATGATTGGAACCGTAACAATAAACAAAGCAAATAATGGTAGTGGTGGTGGTGGTGGTGGTAGTAGTAGTAGTAGCAGCAGCAAGAGTAGCAGGAATCGCAGTGGCAGTATAGTAGTAGTAGTAGTCGTCGCAGCAGTACCTGTAACAGTAAAAGTAGCAGTAGCAGCAG